GGAGGAAAAAAGACCTGGAGCTCCACCCAAGTGAACCATTGAGGGCCTTCCTCTCTTTGGGCTTGCGAACTCAGCTATCTGCCCAGGCAAGTTAGCCTCAGCTGCCTTCAAAGTTAATACTATGAAAGGGAGAAGTAGATGAGGCATTGGTGGTTCAGTGGTAGAATTCTCGCCTGCCACGCGGGAGGCCCGGGTTCGATTCCCGGCCAATGCACTTGAAATTTTCGATTTCAATTTTACTTGATTTTACTTCTAATGTGGCGTATTTGTTTCACCATTTCTACCTAGTGGGAAATGTAGGCTTCTAACTCTTGCAAAGTTAGGCGCTTCGGCTCCAGACCCGAATTTTCTTTTCTAAGACCCTAATTTCTTAGGTGCCCACATGCCCCTGCTCCTAATTTGAGGGTCCTGCAGCCTCCACAGCCCTCCCTCCACCCCTGGCCTGCACCTTCACAGGCGTGACCCTGAGAAAGGACGTGGGACTCGGATCCCTGCCCGGGGGTCCTCTCTACTCTTGGCGGGGAGGAAGAGTTCTCCCCGCCCTCCTCACTCTAAATCCCTTGCTCTTCTTTCCGCCTCTCTTCCTCTCCCTCTAATTTGTTATTCTCTAAAACGCGTTTCCTTTTCCCAAGGGCCTGAGCCTTTTTTGTCTCGCCATCTTTCGGGTCTCTGAAGGCTTCTCGGTGACTCCGTCTCCCACATTCTTTCCAGGTCTCTTAGCGACCGCTGCTGGAGGTCTCTCTGCTCTGGGTTTTTAGAAGTCTCTACGGTCTCTGCTTCTGCTCTCCAAATCTGGCCTTCTCGAATCTCTCGACTTGCTTCCTATCTCTCTGCCTGTGTGTCTCTGGGTCTCTCGGTCTCTGTCGCCTCCCGGACTCTGCGCTCCCACGCTCCTGCCAACCCCTGGGAAGCTCGCGCTCTCGCACCTCCGCGTTCAGACACCTCCCCGCTCCGCCCCTTCCCGGCCGCTTTGATCCAGCACGCGTCTTGCCCGCGGAGCGGGGATCGGGCGGCGCGGGTCCCACACTCGCTGCTTCGGGCGTCCGTCCGCTCTCTCCCGGCGCATTCCACCCCTCTCCCGGCACTGTCTCCTGCCGCTGCCGGTCTCAGGGACGAGGAGGCTGGATCCCGGTCTTACTGGTCTTACTGTATCTTGGTCTTTATCTCTGGGTCTGGGTCTCTGTAACTGGTTTCTGTCTCCTACTTTCAACCTGCTCTGTCTCCTACTTTTAGAGTCTGGATCTCTGTTGGGATTATGTCAATGACAAGCCATGCTCTCCTCGATCTCAGCCTTGACAATGGGCCCAGAAGGAAATTGCAAAACAACTTGGGCATCTGTATGTCTGTGGGGGTAGCTGCTGTATTTACTCACTAAGTTGATATTTATTCCGTGCATCTTGTACTCTGAGTATATCTTGTATACTGAGATGTAGAAGGCATGCCCGGTCTGGGTGCTCCTGAAGTTTACATTACACTGGGAAGACAGAAAATAACCAAAAAAATAGAAAATATTACAGAATAATCTCAAATGGTTATAAGGCTGGAGTTCTACCCACATGAACCATTGCAGACCATCCCTTCCTGGCCTTAATAGAGCATAGTGCTGTTGTGGTGGTCAGAGACAGCTTCTAGGAAGAGGTGATAACGGGACCCAGTGTTTTCAGGCAGGAGTCCAGGGAAAAGAGACAGCAGGTTAAAAATCCATGAGATAGGAAAAAGCTTTGCTGGTGGGAGCTAGAGAAAGAGGGGCTGGAGAATTTGGGAATGGTAGAGACAAGACAGGAGAGGCCTGGCCTATTACACAAGGCCACAGAGGGTCCTAAGGCACTTGCGTTTCAGTCTAAGTGCAATGGGAAACCAGCAGAAATCTCACCAGCAAAGCTGTGTTATCTGACTTCTGTCTCAAAGATCACTTTGTAGGTAGGCACAGTGGTACTGACCTGTAGTCTCAGTTCCTCTAGAAGGCTGAAGCAGAAGAATTGTTTGAGCCCAGAGGTTCAAGGTTATAGTGAGACATCCCCTCATCCACTAAAAATAAAAAAAAAAATACATTACTTTGGTGTCCTACCCTGCCTGGTCCACTGTTCTTCAGAAGAGCCTTCACCATTCCCATAAGTGCTGACCCACACCTGCCCCCCTCACTGCTGAGGGTCTTCCCTGCTGCTGACGCTGTTTTCTGCACCCACAACTGACATCTACCCATCCTCATTGGAAGGTCTTGCGTATTCCCACCAACATTGACGGTGCCAAGAGTTGTTAGAAGAGAAAGGCATGAAATGCTCATTTTGAAAGATAGAAAAGCTACCTGGGCTACAAGAAAAGGCTTTCAAATGAACTGTGGATCAAGACCACATCTGAGATGTGGACTAAGAATTTCAAGGGCACCGGCCAAATCACTGGGAAGCTAACAAAGCCCAGGAATTCTTACACAGACACTGGAGGACACACCGGCGGGATGTTCGCAGGGCCAGGGGCTTCTGTACATTTCACAAACATTAGCTATTTTTACCCAAATGGTCTCTCTACTCCTGCAGCTGCCTCTTCACGTTCTCTCTCTGTGTGTCAGACTTAGGGGTCTGGTTATGGAGAAGGTGAGATGGGGAGACGTTGGATTTGCAGTTTCCCAGGATATATTTCCATGATTTGCGGTCATTTTTGCGTATCCTCACCTTAGCCTAGCCACCGTGTGTAGGAGTGGCTTCCAGAAGACTGCTGTCACTGTTCCTAGTTGTGAGGAGGCACAGGCAGATAGCACTTGTGATAGGACAGTGTCCAGGGGCTCTTCGCACTGTAAATACCTAGGTGGTAGAACAGCCACAAGGTATGAAATATACAGAGCCAACAGCTACTCTGTGGAAAGTTACAGAGGTGGGTAGGCAGTTAGTACAAGAAAGTTAATTTTCTGGACTTTGCAGCATTTGACTCTTTTTTTAATTTCTTATTTTGAGACAGGATCTCACTGAGTCTCTAAATTGCCCAGCCTGGGCTGGAACTTCTGATCCTCCTGCCTGCCTCAGCCTCCCAGAGTTCTGGAATTACAGGTGTGTGCTACCACACCAGTTTT